ATAGTATTCAGAGGCATTTTTCACCGTTTTTTTCATGTTCCTCTTTGTGTGTGTGTGCCAGTTGTTCGGTGGAGTGAGGACTTTATTAGTGATAACCTTAGTTAGGTTCTGTTTTCCAGTGCTGTGGTCTTGGCTGTATTTGTCAAGCAGTATTGTCTATCACTTTAATCAATTTCAATTTAATTACATTGTCTTATTTTGATGATTTCATCCTTTTATCAGTGCTTTCTTACAGATTATACTATACTGGTTTTGGTGGTTAGTCAGACATGGAAAGATAAGAGAAGGAAAGAATAAGGGGGAATTCATGAGGGTAAGGGAGAAGAGATGGGGATAAAAGAAATGTCAGTAGATGAGAAATAGATTGGAGGTCAGATACTGTAATCCAAATAATGTTGATCACTTTTCCTGTCCTCTTCATGGTCCAGAAAGTTTATATTTGTAATCCCATTGAAATGTTATTAAAATCCCAGCAAATTAATCCCAAAATACCATTTCCAGTGCAACCCTTGGCAATAAAGACATTAAGACAGTAAGACATTAAGACATTCACGGTAATGGGCAGCCTAGGGGTCCTGAGTCCAGTCCAGATGAGGATTCATGGAACAAAGGCCGTGACCCAGGGCCTCACCCACTCATGAACAAGGGAGTGGCTCGAAGATGAATGATGGTGAGGACGACAGGAATTACATGAGTCTGTAGCTAGGGTGAGCTAGGAGGCCAGAACGCACCTCTGCGGCATGCAGAGAGAAGGATGTGCAGAAAGCAAGCGTAATCTGCATAACTCAGTTGAGGTAGCGTTTAAATGTTCAGGAGGCTGTCGCTTCTGTTGCTGATATGTAAACTTTTGTGCCCCGGGCAGTCCTAGCCTTTCATTTTGAGGCCTGAACCCAGTTGACATTCCTGGAGCTATGTGGATTTGCCATCCCGCTGTGCTCGATCATTTATAGGAAGACAGGAGGCAAGGAAACAGGAAGCTGTCAGCTGACTTCAGAGATTACACATCTCTACCTCAGTGAGCCTGTTTACCCTGCTTTGAGCCATTGAAGGGAGAAGGAAATAGCTTCGCCAGCTCTACGCTTACCAATACATGGAGGTGGGGCCAGGTTTAGCTAAAGTGGAGTTAACTGTTCTGTATTCAAGAAGATCGTCCAAGTGGTCTTCTACAGTCAGACTCGGCTGGGGTTATTTTTGTTGCTTGGAGTCAAGGGGTCGTGCTGGGGAGTTTGGGGGGGAGGGATACTAAGGGAGAGCAGTGTATTTAGAGATAGAAGCTGTGTGGTTCTTGGAGACTGTTAATCTATTGGGAGCTAGTTTTGTTTGGGTTCTTTGAGCACTGTTCTGCTAATGGCTGTGAGTGGGACCATTCATGTTGTCAGTCACTCTTTTGTGTGTATACTGGCACCTGCTGTGTGTATGGTGGAGAAGAAAGGAGGGAAGATAAGGGAATTGGGGAAATGAGGACAAAAAAAAGAACAGGGAGAAAAAAAGGTAAAAAGAGAAGAAAAACTGAAAAGCAAGGAATGAAAAAAAACTTTACAAATAATATTAATACAAAAGGCTGGTCCGATGGCAGTGGGTTATCAGAACTTACTAACATTAGTGTCACTAAAGTTGGTGACACCCCCCCCCTGCTAAATTTGACTGGCTTTAAAAAAAAAAAAAACATTAATACAAAAGCAAGAAAAAAGAAAGCCCAGGCCAGACAAACAGGCAGGAAATGACCAAAGCCCCCAGGCAGCGGCCCTGTCTGCGCCGGTGCGGACACAGCTCCCTGAGTGGTCCGCAGAGGTCTGAGCCGGTTCACCCGGCTGGCGCCGCCTCCTGGGAGCCGCTCAGGCTGCAGCCTGCTTGGGGCGTGGTTGGGTGAAGGCTGTTGGAATTGTGGACCAACAGCTTCCCTGCTCAGCAACCTGAGTATTGGGACTCAGTCTAGAGGATTCATCTTTGAGGTTCCTTGTCTGGATTGCTGCCTTTTCAAACCACCGTCTCAGCCCACGCCCCCGTTCCTCACTGTCCTTGGGTTCCATCCTAGCTGTCTTTTCTCCTAGTTTTCTTCTATTACGTCTCCATACTAGGAAAACGCCACCAAACAATGCTGTAACTTTCGCTTCTAGCCAGATACACATACTTTTAAAAATTTGAGAATAGTTTATTTTTAACCAGATGCTTAAACTTTCTCTGCTCTTGTTTTGTTGTTCATGTTCCCAAAATTCCTTCTGATTTCTTTTGCTTTTGTCTGAAGGACCTTCATTCAGTAATTCTTTTAGAACTGTCTTGCCAGCAGCAGATTTAAGTTTTGGATTTTTTTTTTCCATCACTTTTTCTTCCTCTAAGAATATCTCTAGATCACCTTCATTTCTAAAGGATGTTTTCAGCCAGGGACGGTGGGCTCATGCCTATAACCCCGGAGCTCTGGGAGGCCGAGGTAAGAAGATCACAAGTTTGAGGCTAGCTAGGCCTTAGACATGACCATGTCTAAAAGGTTTTTTCTGAGTATAAAAATTAATTGGAGGGGTTTTTTTAGGACTTGAAAATACAGTTCCAAGAAAGAGGATCAGGGTGAAAAGAGGGAGGGAGGGTGGGGAAAAGAGAGAGAGAAAAGGAAACTCCATTTTCTTTGGGCCTCCACAGTATCTTGATCTAAAATCTGTATTTGAGTCAATGTTCACTTATACGTAATACATACTTTCGGTTGCTTTCAAAATTTTGGTATACACTTCAGTAGGTTTACTCTGTGAGAGTCACTGAACTTCTTAAATATTTAAGTTGGTGGCCAGGGATTTAGGTCAGTAGTGTAAACACCTGCCTGGCAAGCACAAGGTCATGAGTTCGATCCCCGGAACCAAAAATATATTTCTGTATATCTTACCAAACTTGAGAAATACTCACTCTGTAACCCAGGCTGACCTTTAACTGTGATCCTGCTGCCTCAGCCTCCTGAGTGCTGGGATTGCAAGCAGGCACCACCCACAGTTCAGCCTTAATTTTTTGAAAAATATTTTAGCACCATAATCTTTCTTCTTTCTTTCTGGAACTTTAATGTTAGGAATTTAGAACAGATGACTTAGGTTTTTTTCAGCTTTTCCCCACATTTTTCACTGTGGTTTGGATAATTTTTTAGTCTGTCTTTAGTCTCACTGAGCCCTTTGTTTGTCATTTTCATCTGCAATTTGAGTCTTTATTTCTGTGGTTTTTGCATGTCAGCTTTTCAGCTCTGAAATTTCTAGGTGGTTCTTTTTTGTCTTCTGTTTCTTTGCTGACAATTCTGTGTTTCAGTTTGTGTCAAGACATTCATTAATAGCTGCTGTGAAGTCTGCCGTATCTGACATGTATGTCATCTTCATGCTGGCTGGCATCTTTTTTTATTTTCTGGTAAGCTTGAGATTTTCCAACTTTCTGTATACTTATTTTTGGGAGTTCCATTCCTGGCTATTTTGAATAGTTTGTATTCTAATATACTCATTGAAACTCTGGGTCTCACTTAAATCTTGAAAGAGTGTTGACATTCTTCAGTAGCCTGTGGTCCTCAGGCTGAGGTCCTGTGTGCACTTGGTTCTGACTCACGCACTGCTCCTGGTCCTGCACGCTCTCCGAGCCCAGCTGCCACGTAGCGCTGCACGGTTCCTGCGCTCTCAGGCTTCACTGTTCGAGTTAGGCTCAGACCATCCTGGGCAGTCCTGGAGTGAGCCCCACGGTAGTAAACATTCTGTCAGGTGGCTTTCCTGTGCCTCTTCCAGGTAGTTTCTGGATCTCTCCTTTTCTGTCCTCTAGCCCAGTGCTAAAGGGTTAGCTGACCTCCCTGTCACATGTTCCCTGACCATGCCCACACCCAGGGCCAGGTAAGGGGAGAGTAGCACCAAGAGCTGTAGCAGTTTACTCCCCGCTTGAGTCCCCAGCACCGTCCTTAGAAGCTTCCTGTCTCTGAGTAGTGTCGTTCCAGCTGCCACTGCAGCCTCTGGCCCACTGCCAGGGATTTTTTGTTTGTTTGTTTGTTTGTTTCCTTTTTTATCGGTACCGGAGATCCAACTCACGACTGCCTGCTTGCAAGGCAGGCACTTATGCCGCTGAGCTAAATCGCCAGCCAACTGCCAGGGATTCTTAGGAGCGAGGCCAAGGTAGAGTGAGAATTCGGAGCTCCGTTCCCTTCCCCGGGAACTGGTTCTGGAAGGCTTTTCCCAGAGCGTGTGCTTGCTCGAGTGATTGTGCGCTCGTACTTGCGTGGTCTCTCTCCTCTCTCCCTTCTTCAGATGGAGACAGGGTGGAGTGAGTTTGTTTCATCTCACCCCGAATTGGACCCTGCATGCCGTAGGTTCCAAGCCCAGCACCATACGCACACACGCGCGTACACACACTCATTATATAAACATCCTACTTGTGTTCCTAGTAGAAACACTTTATCAAATTTTTTTAAAAAGCCTTCTACTGTTCAGGCTGTTTGAGGGGGTGGTGTTTTGCAGAAGTAGAGATCCTACTCATGGCTTCTGTTACTCAGCCAAATTGCCAGCCCAAAGATTTTTATTTTTAAATCAAAGATAGATTTTAATTTTATTATACTTTCAAAATGTATTTGCATTTTGGAAATGAATATGTGGACTTGAGAGAGAAGGGAGGCTGGCAGCAAGAGGTCAGTAACAGCCTCTCACATGCAGGGTGCTGAAGGCTGAGACTAAGAAATAGACACGGATAGAGATACAGATGCAGACGGATGCCTGACGATCCATTTGACAGGCGGGAAGCTGGGAGGGAGGATGTGTGGAGGAGCCGGGCAGGAAAGTTGGTGCTGATCTCTAGGTGGCTTTGAGACTTCTGTAGCATGGGGTCTTCCTAGAAGTTAATGAGAGAAGTTTAATTAGGGCATTGTCAGAGGTGATCCCAGACTGAGGGTGCCACCGAAGCATGATGCAAGGAGTGGCATGAGAGAGGCAGAGGCATAGGGGTCTGGGGGAGAGGTCTTACCCTGCCAGCCGGGGCCCCCTCAGACTTGTATTTGCTTCCAGCTTCAAGTTTGGATAGTCAGTCATTTGTGATGATGCCCCCAAGTGATGAAGTGGTGACAAATCTGGAAACTCTGACAAGCAGATGCCTTTATGGGAAGAACTACTGCCGGCAGATCCTCTGCCTGTATGAGCTCGCCAAGGTACGTGGGAGGTTTCCTAGGAGGGGAAGCTGGAGGTAGATTTTGGACAGTGCCATGACAGCCCTTCAGTGGTAATGTCAGCCTCCCAGGTGACCTGGGTACAGAGCCTTTGGCAGGGTATTGTTCCCTGTGAGTCTGTCTGCAGGAATAGTGGGGAGGACCCGGGCCAGGCCCCAGGGCGGTCTGTCCTGGGCAAAGCTCAACCACTCAGAACGCCCCTGCGGCAAAGCGTTCTACCTCAGTGGACCCTTGCTCTCCATTTAAATAATTTGAACGTGAGGTCCTTTCAAGACCTCATGTCTTACGTGTTCTTGCGGATTGTGTAGAATAATCTGTATGGAGTGCAGTGACTATAGAGACAGGAACCAGGATGTTCCTGGCTCAGTGCTGCTTTGAGGAGGGAAACAGCAGAGAGGATGTGAAAGAGCCTGCAGGGAATAAAGTCCAGTGTCAGAGCACCCAGACCGAGGAAGACTTCAAGACTTCTTTGGAAATTTGGAAGTTTTACTGTTGCTGTGGGAACACTAAGGAAGATCTTGTTGCATTTTATTTTGCTTTCTTATGCTGCTCATGTTTGAAACAGTCAGTGTTCAACAAGAGATGGTCATCTGATGTTTTCTAATAAGCCTTTCTTTTGCTTGAGTCTGACCGTAGTGAGTGATAGAAAGGATTAGGAAATAGTACTTGCTTTTTTAGGGGTTTTTGCTCAGGGGAAGGATTTTTAAACTCAGCAAACAATGGGGTCTGTCCACATCACATGTCTTACAAGGCTGTCTTTTGATTTTTCTTGATTCCTAAGAATAACTTTGGCTCTACCCTCCCCCCAGGAGTTGGGCTGTTCCTACACAGAGGTTGCTACCCAGGATGGCAAGGCCCTGCTCCACGCGATCCTGGCCTCCCAGCAGCCTGACCGGTGCAGACGGGCCCAGGCCTTCATCAGTACACAGAGCCTCCCTCCAGACACTGTGGCTGAGCTTGTGGCTGACGAGGTGATGCAGGAGCTGCTGACCCCATCCGAGGGAACAGGTGCTGTGGCCCAGCCTCTGAGACAGTAGTCTCAGTTCCCCAGCATCAAGGATTTGGATGTTACCCTCAGATGCATCCTGTGTGTTGTATCTGAGCATCTTGTATGTTGTCCTCTCACATTTCTAGATCTCATCTGGAAACGTGTGTACTTATTTTGTTGGGGTTTTTTTTGTATTATTTTCTGATCATGCTCAGAGTAGCTCTGACCTCTCCAACCCAGGCACTGCTCTGTTCTGTGCACCAAGGTTCAGAGCTCAGCAGCCGGACTGCCCCTATGTATGACCACCGATGCCCAGCTTAGGCAGAGTGGCCTCCAGCTGCATGCTTCTGTCCTTCTCTCACCTCTCCCATGGTAAACCCAGCCTGTCTCCACATCTCTCTGTGCAGGAGGACATAAGCAGCTGTTCAGCCCAGCAGAAGAAAGCCAGACGTTTCTTCAGCTGACAGCTCTGTGTCAAGACCACACCTTGGTTGGGATGAAGTTGCTGGATAAGATTTCTTGTGTTCCTCACGGGGAGCTGTCCTGCAGTAAGTTCTTAGCCTTTTGCTTACATGTTTTGAGCCTAAGCAGGTCTCCAAAAGGTCTCCTGGGGTCATCTCTCCAAAACTTCATTTAAGTCTTGTTCCTGCTCTGAGCAACTAGCACTGCAGCATGGAGCATGAGTTTTTAGTAGAAAGCTAGAAAGAAAATTTAGAAGATATAGAAAAGTATCTTCAGTTTAACACACAAAACCTTTAGCTCTGGGTGGTGGTGCACACCTTTTCTCAGCACTGGCTGAGGCTGCAGCAAAATTGTAGGTTTCAGGCCAGTTCGGCAACTTAGTAAGACTCTTCTCAAAATTTTTTAAGAAAGAATTGGGGGCAGGGTGCTGGAGATGTAGTTCAGTGATAGGGCACTTGCCTGGCGTGAAGAGGCCCTGAGTTCAATTCTCAGTATCATAAAAAGTATTACTAATAACTATATCATTTTGAGTCCTTTAGTTTCCATTGTTTGCTATTTTAAACATTCTGATGAATAACGCTGTGCCCATCCATGATTATTTTCCTAAGACAGAGTCCTGACTCATGGGGGTTCTCATCTTACAAGCTTCTACACACATATGCATACATACATGTGTCTGTGTTTATGCATGTGTATGGGTGCATGTGCACACACACACAAGTATATGTATCTGTGTCTGGCTAAGTTTCACTCAGGTAAAAAAAAATGTCACCCTTCACTCTTAAGTAGTGTAGCATTTCCTGAAACCTGTTTCTCTTTTCATGTTTGATAGACCCAAAAAAGGCTTTTCTTTTCTTCTTTTCTTTGGCCTTGAACTTACTATGTAGCCCAGGCTGGTCTCAAACTCAAGGCGATCGATCCCCCTGCCTCAACCTCCTGAGTGCTGGGATTACAGGAAGGCACCACTGCAGCTGGCTTGTAGTAGTTTTCAGTTTACATTCAGCCAGATCCCTAGTCTAGAAGGCCAGAATACTTGAAACCTTCCACTGAGGTGCAAAGAAAGAGCTTAGATTTGTGTTAGCAGAAATACCATCAGTTAGTCTTCAGAAAGTTTCTCCATCTTTAGCAGGCGAGGATCCATTCTTCACAGTTTGAGCCTTTAGAGATAGGGCCACTGTATGACTCTCTGGAGGACAGGGTTAATCCCTGGGTTTATTACTGAGAAAAGATTCTTGACATCACCAGAGAGTTTGTCCCACAGAGTGAGATAGTGTGGCCAGGCCCCCGAGGGACCAGTGAGAGAGCTCTCTGCATAGGCCTCTTCACTCCAGGCAGAGGTCACAGTGGTTTGTCTCACCAATGTCCCGCCCCAGCCACAGAGCTCCTGATCCTGGCTCATCACTGCTTCACCATGACGTGCCACATGGAGGGCATCATGCAAGTCCTGCAGGCCGCCCGGATGCTAACGGACAACCACTTGGCTCCCAACGAGGAGTACGGGCTGGCGGTGAGTGGCCTTCTCCACCCACCCTCTGGTCTGGAGCAGACTTTGAGAGGAGCAGAGATCAGCACTTGCGCAGAGCTGATGTGGTTTTAGGAAATTCTGCCCCTCTGGGTCCCATGACCTGCTTGGGAGCCGGCTGGGCTGCCCAAGCTGCAGTGCTCCGAGTTAAGGAAACACTTAACTGTCTGAGAGAAGGGGTCCCTTCCAAGGTCAGAGCTGTTGCACCCTCATGCCAGGGTAGTGAGCTTTTCTAGAGGGCTCACTTCTCCCCCAGAACAAGGTAAATGAGGTGACCGTCCAAGCCTTACTGCCTTCCCAAGTTCTCTGCCACAGGGACCACTGAGAGCAATGGGAAGAGCCAGAGCCTGCCGGAGACGGCTCCACTTTACCTGGTAGGCATGCATACACAACAGAGAAGGAACAGTGGGCTGGTGATGTCCCTAATGACAGCCACAGTGATTCCTCCAAAGACCCCTATGGGGAGCGTAGGAGGGAGCTGGGCATGCAGGCACCCTGACAGAAAAATAGTCTGGTTCAGAGAACTCCAGAGACACTGACACACACACCCTCCCTGCAGGTCCGGCTCCTCACTGGCATTGGAAGGTACAACGAGATGACGTACATATTTGATTTGCTGCATCAGAAACACTACTTCGAAGTGCTGATGAGGAAGAAGCTGGATCCGGTGGGTGTGGGCCGTGAACTGGGCTCAGCTTTTCTGAGTGATGATCTCAGTCAGGATGGGGCCCGCAGGAGTGCAGGGAGGGGGAAGCAGATACTCAGCTGAGTGCTGACCAGGTACAGATTATGCTGACATTAAATACTGAAGACGATGCCAGGCATGGTGGTGTACTCCTGTAATCCCAGCACTGGGGAGGCTAATGCAGGAAGCCTGCGCGAGTTTGAGACCAGCCTGGGCTACCTCGTGAATTCAAGGCTAGCCCAAACTACATAGAGCCTGTCTCAAAAACAAGACATAAAAAACATACTGAAGAAGTTTGTCCCTTTCTTTTACAGCAGGTGTCCCTAAGTTGTGGTCCTTTATTTAAAAATAAAGGAAGTTCTGTTACACATGCACTAGGTATACATTACCTGTTCTATATGCCTCCCAAGATGATTCCTCTTCAGTGTGGCCCAGGTGAGCTGACTGTATCCAGCTCTCAGGCCATAGGCTACAGACCCCCATGGCATGTGTTCAGAAAATGCCTTTTCTAGCAGCAGCAAAATCCTTGCTTGAGATGCATGCTGAAAGTAGACTGTTGGACTCTGATAGTGCGCCAGAGGGCCTGAGTGGAGGAGTTTTAAGGGAACCATGAAAAAGCACCCTGCTAAAGTCAACTTAGGAAGGGAAAGCAGAACCCTGCCTTGTTAGTCCTCTGGGCCTTTGGGAAACCATCACCAGCATACTGTGACACCAGGTACATCACTCATGCAGTGTTTCCAAGCTACATATTTGGCTAATTTGTTGCCTCTCCTCATTTCACCTCGGAACAGTGAAGTAACATGTACTTAGCTGGGCATGGTGGTGCATGCCTGTAATCCCAGCACTCAGGAGGCTGAGGCAGAAGGATCATTGTAAGTCTTGAGACCAGCCTGGTCTACAAGGTGAGCTGCACTACAAAGTAAGCTTAAGGTGAGACTGAACTGCATAATGGGACCCTGTCTCAAAAATATTAATGATGATAATACAATAACATGTACTTTTGGCGTCTCTGAACCTAGCTCCAACCAAACATTTCTAATTCTGGGCTAGTTTCACATCAGACCAATCCAGCTGTCAGGACAGGAGGTCTAAGGCATGGATGCATTTCAGGATCTGCCCAAGGAATTTTAAAATTGCAATTTTTTTTTAAATTGCAATTTTTTGAGGCAGTTTTCTGTACTTAAATATTATTTTAATAACTTTTTCTGATTATAGAAGTAATGCAAAGCAATCCACTAGGGACCCCTTCTGTCTGTCTCTCAGACAGCTTTTTTTCTCTCACTAAATATATTCTGCTCTTGAAAAAAAAAGTAGTGCATTTTCCACATAAGACACTTGGAAAACAGAACACAGAAAACAGCCCTCAGCGTCTGTGGCATCTGAGGACAACCACTGCTAAGTTTGGTATAGGCCCTTTCTTTGCAATTTACTCAAAAGCATACATACATTTTTGTAGATTTTAACAAAACTTATGTCATGGAGATAGGAAATAGCTACTTTTCCTAGTAAATGTATCATGACTATTCCCCAAACAACAGATAGTCTTCTACATCAATTTCAATGGCCACAAGGGATTCTGTAAGCCTTTGTTGTGGACAGTTAGGCTGTTCCTACTTAATTACACACATATGTACAAACTTTTGAGACAGGGTCTCCTGTGTAGTTCAGGCTGGCCTTGAACTATGTTAACAGCCTAGGCTGGCCTGGAACTTGTGACTGTCCTGCCTCACTCACCGGAGCACCACCACACCCAATTTGTTACATTCATTTTAGTACTTTTTCCTGTTTATTTCTCTAGGGTAGATTTCTAGAAATATAATGGTTAGATCAGCAGATGCATTGTACTTCATGGTACTTCAGAAGGGCTTCTCCCTTCTGAAGGGTTTCACTGTTCATAAAGACGACATGCCTGTTTCCTTTTACCCATTCATTTACCCTACATTCATTTTCAGTTTTAGTCATCTTTTCCTCTTTCTCAGGAGTTTTTAGGGAACTTTTGAGACAGCCAGTCCTGCTTGTCATGCAGTCCTGGTTGAGATCTTGGCATTCCATTTTCTTCCTGGGCAGAGTGGGACCCTGAAGACAGCCCTACTGGACTACATCAAACGCTGCCGTCCTGGGGACAGTGAGAAGCATAACATGATTGCCCTGTGCTTCAGTATGTGCCGAGAAATCGGGGAGAACCATGAGGCAGCTGCCCGTATTCAACTGAAGTTGATTGAGTGTCAGGCCTGGGGTGAGCAAATCACTGCAGCACACACAGAGCACACTGCTAACGGGAAAGCTTGGTTTGAAGCAGGGCCTCAGCTAGACAGGAAATTGCAAGGATGTTTGGGAGGCATTTTCACTCTTGGGACCTGGTCCTGTGCATGACGGTGTTGTCCATCTGGAACAATTGCATACTGATGCTATGGAAGCCTTCCTTGGTGCTCAGAGCAGAGAACTAGAGAGACACCAAGACCTGTTCCAGGGTGAAGTTATAGTAAGATTGTGCATGTTTCAGACCCCACAGTCTTTTACCTGAGACACCTCTACCTCCTTGTGAATATGGCCAGGGTGTCTTTCTCCTATCCTACCATGGCTGAGAGGAGAGCCCACCTGGGAGTCGAATCCACTCAACAGTCTCCTTTGTTCCCTGCAGAGGACAACCTTAAGGATGGGCAGCAGCTGAAGCAGCTGCTGTTGAAGGCCCTGACCCTGATGCTGGATGCAGCCGAGAGTTACGCCAAGGTAACAACAGGATGAATGATGTGGATTCATCCTGGCCTTGATATCTGCAGTAAGAGTTCTTTTGTCCGAGTTCCTCTAAGGGAAGGTAGTGTCACGGGCCAAGCAGCGGAGAAGGGATAAGTATAATTGTTGGCTCACATTTTTCTGTCTCTCTCCATCTTTGTTCCTTAGGACTCCTGTGTGCGACAGGCCCTGCACTGTCACCGGCTCACCAAGTTGATAACACTACAGATCCACTTTCTGAACACTGGCCACAATACAATGGTCATCAACTTAGCCCGCCATAAGCTGATGGACTGTATTACGGCCCTGCCTCGGTTTTACCAGGTGAACAAGAAACAGAACTCTAGCCAGCACTACAGCATCTCTCTTGCTGCAACACTAATGAAACCAAGGCTGAGTTACCGAGGGACAGGACCAGCATTAATGTCCTGACTTAACTGTTCAATACAACCATGAAGAGGTGATTTAGCTGGGTGTGGTGGTACATAGTTGTAATTCCAGCACTTGGAAGGCAGAACCAAGATCACCTCAAGTCTGAGGCCAGCCTGGGCTACATAGGGAATTCAAGGCCAGTCTGAACTATATAGCAAGACTGTAAGGTGGGGTGGGCAGGAGAGTTTGCTCTATTTATCATAGCATGTTTTTTGGGTATCTTGGACAGTACAAAGCACTACCATCTCTTCCCCATCCTATTAAAGCAGCAGAGGTAGGGCTCTTTGGCCTTGAGACAGTTAAATTCAGTCCCATCCCTGCCAATGGTCCTGCAAGAATCTCAGCCCATATGTGCATGAAGCATGCACCTGTGTTAGCACTGAGAGGGGACTGCCAGGAGGGGTTCTAGTCCTTAGAGTGGGAGTGTCACTAGAGATTCAGCCCTTAACTGTTCCTTGGACAGTTGGGGCACTTCTTGCTGTTTTATTAATCCATTGTGAAACAGTGATGGTAGGTGTTCAGGGTTTACAGGAGGGACAGTGCCAAACTAATACCATACTTTTCACCAAGTCTGACAGTCTTAAGAGTTGATTGTGATCTCATTCATTACATGTGTGTGGTTATTTTCTAGACTATGTCTTGTGCATCAAATGGGCTCTAAATTGTGTTCGCCTTTCACTTCTATCCCTTAAAGGCATCTATTGTAGCTGAGGCCTATGACTTTGTTCCAGATTGGGCTGAAATTCTGTACCAACAAGTGATTCTTAAAGGAGACTTTAATTACTTGGAAGAATTTAAGCAGCAAAGATTATTAAGACCCAGTGTATTTGAAGAGATTTCAAAAAAGTAAGTTTAAAAGTAGACTGTGCTGGGCACAGTGGCCCACACCTACACAGTCCTAGCTACTTGGGAAATTGCAGTGGCGCTCACCTGAGGCAAGACCAACCTAGGCAACATAGACCCTGTCTGGTTGTGCGCTGGGGGACATGGTTGACTGAACTTTTCTCCTTAACTCTGAGGTGAGATGGGAATGAGAAATTTATAGCTAAGTATGACATACCCTTAGCTTACTCTTCTGCTTAAAATGGCATAGCCATGAAGTCTCTAGAACAGGGATCGCAGGCAGACTTATGCAAGCAAATGAGTAAGAAGCTTGCTTATGCTGCCTTACACTTCATGTGGGAGGTGCCTATGAACCTAACCCAGTGCTCATTTAACGTGAGCACTGACATACTTATTCTTAATGAAAATAATCTCCCAGACGACCACACCCTCTCCTCTACAGGCAGCAGTGTGAGATAGCAGTCCCCACTAAAGACACAGTATTTACCCTGTGCTTTTTTCATTTGTCTAGATATAAACAACATCAGCCTACTGACATGGTCACAGAAAACCTGAAGAAGTTACTCTCGTACTGTGAAGATATCTACTTGTATTACAAGTTGGCATATGAACACAAATTTTACGAAATTGTAAATGTGCTTCTAAAGGACCCTCAAACAGGTTGCTGTCTAAAGGACATGCTTGCAGGTTAGATTACTTCAGAGATGCCTGTGGCCTTGTAATGACAGGAGGTTCTGACAGATGTCCATTATCGAGAGTAGAATGCACTGGGCAGCTTATGGTCTGAGTTGGGAAAGCCCAAAAATATACCATCTCGGTCCTTTGTGGGTAGTGGATATTGAAGGAGAATTTTCAGCAGGAAATTCCTATTTGGAAGTGACTGCTCATCTACACCATTTTACACGGATGCTGTTGTTAAAAGCTTCCTCAGAATGATTGCTGCATTGGGAGGTAATGCAATGATTAAAGGATACCTGTGCCTGCAGATTCCAGTTTCAAAGAAATTTAATATTATTTACACAGTTAAGGAACAGGTGATACATTTTCATTTGTTAGAAACTGATCTTTCTATAATAAAATAGATTTTAAATTCAGTGTATGTCATTATTACTGCTAAGGAAATCTTAGCCCTTGTCGGCCTTAAAACAGTATTTGCTATAATTATTGCTGTGTAGTCAGACCTTCTATTAATTCACCAAGTCATTTAATGGTCCTGTTTCACACTTAAAAATACTTTTTGTTCTAGCTGTGGCAACTGGGACCAAAAAAAGACAAACTCACAAATCTTATTAAATCACTTAGGATAAGATAAAGATCCCAGTTTATGCTTGTACCCATAACCTGAGTTGTAGGCTTCTAATCTCCAAATAAATAGTTCTTATATTTAATTAGACTTTAGTATCTAAACAAAATAATTTCCCAAATAAATAAGAAGATAGCCTTATAGCTTTGTTGCTCTATGGCAACCTAATGACCTGGCAAATCATTGTTTTAAAGCTGTAACTACACCAAGCACTGATTAAGCTTTAGTATGTATATAAGCAACTAGTCCCAAGAGCTGCATTCTGTACTCTCCAAAAATAGCTCTTGGGCTGTAACACAAAATTTAAGTCCTCACAATAGTAATTTTATTAAATTAGTTACTTTATAAAACATCGCAGATGTCATAATTGGGAACGTAACAATTTACCAAACTGTAGTTAACTGGTGCAGTTTGCTGAGCATGTTTTATAAAGAAAAGGAAATGCCAAAACCCTGTTAAAGTTTGTTCCACTGCAGCCTAAAAGAACAAGAGATTTATTTCTCAGACACTTGAATCAGGTAGTTTCCCTTCCCCATCTTGAAGCACGCCATCAGAAGAAATAGTCTAATAAATTAAAAACTAGATAGTCTATGCACTCAACAGATTCCACAACTTGTACTGCAATAATGGAGAGGTTTACCCTTCTTCAGCTTCAAAGTTGGAGGGTTTGGTCATTTAATTTTTAAATATCTTCATTCTGAGATAAGCAGTCTTCTTCACAATGGATTTTCAATATCCTCACGCTCGATTTTAAGACAAAGCAATTTTAATACTAGGTGCACATCACACGCCCTTACTACAAACTGCTTTTCTTAACAAATTATGAAGTAGTTCAAGGAGGTATGGTTAAGGCTGTATTACTGAATGGTGCTGGTAAATACTACATAATTTTTTGTCATGTTGCAACCTTTGTTTCCAATCTGGTGAATGCTGCTATGGAATCAGATAGCAACAATGACATTATTAGATCTGTTTTTCAACTATGATTTAGTAGCAGTTGAGGTTCCAAATTTTAACCCCTTGGCAGCAAGATCCAAGTTCCCTCATTTGCACATTAGCACCTAAGTGTCAAGGGGTTAAATAACCAGCACAAAAGATACTGCACTTATGATTGTAGCATTTGGCAGAACTGAAAGGAAACGAAATTGTGCTACATGTTGAAGGGATTGTGGGCAACAGAAAGAAGACACCAGAAGATAAAATGTCACATAAAGTCTTCATAGTCTTGTACATATCCTCCATCGTAACCACCATAATCTGCCAGATCGTCTTTCATCGTGGCCTTCAGTCCCCCTCCAGGAACCACACCTTTTTTCTTCTTTTTGGCTTTGCTTTGCTAAGGATAAGACAGAGAGTTCATTCATGAGACTTTATGTGCTACTGCTATTTTCTCTAATATAGCAATCCTCATGCAGATGCCAAGCCATCTGGTCCCAGAAAAATGCCAATTCTTTAAGGAACAGCTCAAGCCTAAGCTACAGCAATTTCTGTTAACTCAGAAAAGAGCACCACAAAATGCCCATAAACAAAAAGGAGGGTAATGGTACCTGCACTACTAGTCCAACTTCAGCAACATTAGTGAACTGCTTGGTTTTGTATGTCTGTCTGTCTTTGTAGCACTAGGGACTACACCCAGGCCCTTTTTGTATTTTTCTATTTTTTTTTTTTTTAATCTTTTTCCTTTTTATCGGTACTGGGGATCGAACTCACGACTGCCTGCTTGCAAGGCAGGCGCTTATGCCGCTGAGCTAAATCTCCAGCCCCTGTATTTTTCTATTTTGACACCTGGTCTTGGCTACACCATTAAGTTGGACTCAGTCTTTCGATCCTCCGGGCTGAGCATGCCAGAGTGATGTAATTACAGGTGTACAGCACCACACCTGGCTGACTTGCTTGACTTTTAAATAGATCCTCCTTCATCTATTGAGAATATTCTACCCATAACTAATCCTTACCAATAATCATTTCCATATACAGTTTGCTCTTACCTTTTCTTGCTTCTGTTTTTCACTGCAAAGCACAGTCAATGAATTGGTAATCTTTTTCAAGTCATCAATTTCCACTAAAAAGAGACATTCCCGAAACCAACAGTTAAGCATTTTGAGAAGTTAAAGCAGGCATCCTTTCAAAAGTGTCAAGGATCCTAACTATGCATCATTAAATTGTAATTCTGAAGTTGAGTGTGGTGGCACATACCTGTACTCCAAGCACTGGGGAAGCTGAGGCTGGAAAACTGCCACAAGTTTGAGGCCAGCCTTAGTTCAACACCAACCTGAACTACACAGCAAGACCTTGCCTCAAACAAAAACTTCAATTTTGAAATGACTGAATTTCTCGTTGTAAATATTAAGGTGACAAGGAATCCTTCTGACAAGTTCAAATCAGAACTCTCAGTACTTAAAATGGTAAATTCAGAAAAAAAAACCTTACACAAAGCTGATCAAAAAATATAGGGCTAGGGCTGGGGATTTAGCTCAGTGGCATAAGCACCTGCCTTGCAAGCGGGCAGTCATGAGTCAATCCCTGGTACCGATTAAAAAAAAAACAGTACAAAAAAAAAAAAAAAAAATATATATATATAGGGCTGTGGATGTGGCTCAGTGGTAGGGTTCTTGCTTTGCATACATAAGGCAAGCACTACAAAAAATTAAAATAGCCAGGTATGGTGGAGTATACCTGTAGTCCCAGCACTTGGGAGACTGAGGCAGGAAGATCACCACAAGTTCAAGGCCAGCCTGGACTCCATAGTGAGATCAAGGCCAGTCAGGCAGGGCCGGGGATATAATTCAGCAGCACAGCACTTGCCTATCAGGCGCAAGGTCATGAGTTCAATCCCCAGTACCAAAAAAAAAAACCCCAGAAAACCAAACGAAATGCATGGCAAAACTCTGTCTCTAAAAAAAAATAGATCTATGTTACAGTGAAAGATATAGTGAAACTGTCTCAACCCCACCCACCCAAAAGTTTTTAAAATTTTTTTTAAAAGTACAATAAAAGACACATTGTAGGGGCTGGGGATTTAGCTTAGTGGCTTAAGCACCTGCCTGGCAAGTGCAAGGTCATGAGTTCAATTCCTAGCACCCCAAAAAAAAAAATGTTCTCAAAGACACATTCTTCTTGCCACTTTTGCAAACAGTTCTGGAAGTCATCCTTGATGTTTTCATAAGGTGTGATAAAAATACAAGGAATGCTGCTCCCAACTACCATCCAATGGAAAAACAGGCCTGTAAACACATTACAGTGTGCTTACCACCTTGTTTACCAGATCTGGCACTGTGTTACTTCTGGCTCTTTTCCAAAGTCAAAATAACTAGCAATGATGGATAATCTGGAAATCAGTGTAGAGAGTCCTCAAAAAAGTAGGACTGGTGGTTCCATTTGACCCAGCTATTCTTCTTGGTATCTTCCCCGAAGAATTAAAAACATTATACCACAGCAATATATGTGCATCAGTGTTCATAGCAGCACAATTTGTAATGCCTAGATCTTGGAAACAACCTAAATGCCCATCAACTGAGGAATGGATAAAAAAGATGTCCTTCTATACAATGGAGTACTATTCAGCCATAAAGAAGGACAGACTGGACTTGGACACCACCAAGACGTACTCAAGTAAAATCAGACATGCATGTGTAAACATCATATTGTCTCACTAGTATGAGAAGCTGTACAAAACTATGTATGTATGAATGTATGCATATATATATATATATATATATATATATATACACACACATACTATTAATTTCTCTGAGTTCACTGAAGAGAAAGGTTTATACTGATACTGTTCAGACAATTGAATGTAGATGTCTTATGCTCTGGGTGACTGATATATGGGGACAGCAATGGGCAATGTATGTACCATTGTTGCCCCGGTTGTTGTGAATTATTTCCCTCCTTAAAATAAGACAGATTTAGGAAAAAAAAAAAAAAAAAAAAAAAAAAGATGATTGCTAAGTGTGTTTGAAGATGAAATTTTGGTTTGGTTTGTTTTTGGAGAGAGTCTGTGTAGTTCAGATTGACCTTGAACTCACTATGTAGCCCAAACTGGCCTCGAACTTGCTGCAATCCTGCTTCAGCCTCTCAAGTGCTGGGACTACAAATGTGCACTACCACACCTAGCTCACATTCGCTTATTTTTGTATCACACCCTGTATAATGTTACCAGCATAAAATAGCTCAACCACAGAAAAACTGTTTATGGCTCACAATGCTCCCTTCCTGTACCATACCTGTACCCTAAATGCGGTCAGGAGTAGCTAAATGAACATGGAATGACTTTTTTTTTTTTGGAGATAGGGTCTCAGTACAGAATGACTGTACAAGCTCAAGCTCAAGCTCACAATCCTTCTGCCTCTCAAGCTCTCCAAGGCTGAGGTTACAGGTGTGCTGGTCCCAGTGATCATTTTTTTTCCAGTACTGGAGATTAAAGCTGGGGCAATCTACTACATCCCTGCCCCTTTCTTTGTTCATTCTGAGACAGGGTCTTGCTAAGTTGCCCTGGCAACACTTTTTTGTGACCTTCCTGCCTCAGCCTCCCTCAGTGCTGGAATTACAGGCCTGTGTGACCGCTTTCTGCTTAGGAGAACAATCCTCCCTACCTCCTCCCTAACAGTTCTTAAACCTGCAGGTAAAACCCCCTATATTCAGGAATCTATTCTCTAGCACAGGAGCTGCTATCAGTGTACTATCAGTGACAGGCCTGTTTAGTGTACATGTTCTCCCATCCTTGAAATTAGAAAGAACCAAGATAGTTTTATTCACCAGACAGTGTTCTGTGGTGTAGAAAGCACTTCCAAAAACAAAGATGGTACACCTAGAATAAAATAACACTTGGGCATATCACTGACCAAATTTAGAACTCCATCTTGGTGATTATTTCAAAGAACACCCTCCTCCCTTTTAAGGGTCTCACTATGTAGTTCAGGTTGGCCTTGAACTCACTACAAAGCCTTGACTGGCCTCCAGCTGGTGGTGATCCTACTGTTTTAGCCTCTTCAGTGCTTGGATTATAGGCATGTACCATCCGCTAGAAAACCCAATTTTAACTAACTATACTGGGTTCTTTTTTCATCAATCTTAAAAATAGTATATATACTGGAAAAATTAGTCCTTTCCTATAATAGCTAAATCTTGGAAACAACCCAAATGCCCATCAACTGAGGAATGGATAAAAAAGGATGTGGTATTTGTATACTAAAATACTACTCAGCCACAAAAACAATAAACTCAAAGCTTTTATAGGCAAATGGATGCAACTAGAAACCATAATCACATAAGTGAAATAAATCAGACTTGCATGTGTAAACACCATACTGTCTCACTAGTGTAAAAACCTGAAAGAGTAAATAAGATCCAAAAGTTATAACAGATATAGCAAAAGGGCAAGAAATTGCTCAAAGGGAAATTACATTGTTTGATCAGTCTTGCATGCTTGTATCTGGTAGCCTGAGCAATTACTTTGAGGATAATAATAAGCAATATAACAACCACTGTTAAATTCATATCATCTTGTTTTGAAATCCTATATTGCCACTGATTTTTGTTGTCGTCATTTTGCTTTTGTTGTTTTCTGTTTGCTTCTTGATTTTTTTCCCTTTAAAATTAAAAAAAAAAAAAAAAAAAACTAGTCCTTTCCACATTAACACTACACCATTCAACCCAGTCATGCCCACATACCCTACCCAGAAATGTGTGACTCTATAGGACACAGCACCACCATTCTCTAGCTCCCAGAGAATGTCAGCTCTATCAAGCAACCTGTACCCTTGCCTTGAGCTTTCTCATTCATAAAATATATAAAGTCTCACCCATCTCTACAATCCTGCAAGTCGAGAGACCACTTCCCCCAAAGATTCTTTCTAGCCTCTTTCAAGAGATTATCAGATAAAAAGAATAGGCTAGGGGCTGGGGATTTAGCTAAGCAACATAAGCGCCTGCCTTGCAAGCGCATGGTCGTGAGTTCGATCCCTAGTACCAATAAAAAAAAAAAGGAATAGGCTGATATTTCATCAGCTATCTTGCATACAACCCTGAAAATCCATCTGGAAAGCCACTATTAAAACAAGAAAGTAGCCTGTCCTACTCTCCTCAAAAAACCCAATACTCATACTAACTGCACATACCAAACATTCCCAGGTAATTACACAAATCCTGAGTCTGTAACCAAATAAATCTCCTATCCTCTTGTACTTACTAAATTAGACACAGGGGCCAGAGATAAGAATTACTTACATGGCCGGGGATTTAGCTCAGCAGCATAAGCGCCTGCCTTGGAAGCGCACGGTCGTGAGTTCAATCCCCGGGACCAATAAACAAACAAATAAAAAGAATTACTTACATGAAATACACACATCTCGAACTAAAGCTTCCAAAAAACTCGCATAATATAGTGACTTTTCATATTGTGTAATTTTATCTTTTAGTAACTTTCCAAACTCTGTGAAATCATCTCTTGAAGATGGATTCATAGCATCTATTCCATAAACTGTGTTATTAACACCTGCAGAAGAGAAGAAACACTGAAAATATTAGAAAGTGTTTTTTTTGAAGGTTTACAAACCAATTAACTATGTAAATAACACTATCACTTCATTCCAAAACAAGACTTTTAACCTGGCTACTGGACTCCTTGCACAGAATTTAGGGTATCTATGAATTTGAGAAAAAACATCTTGATTTTTTTCTAATCTGTGATTTACTATTTCCTTCACTTTTATTATAGGTAGTAGGCAACAACAGGTAACAAATTGCAACAGCACAGCAAAATGACTTATCAGCAGAGACTACACATACTTTCCTATCACATGACAGTTACTACAGATACTCCATCTCCTATTGTTCAGTCATATTACTTTCAAAATACATAGTATACTTGACACTGGATCCTACTGAATATATTCATTAAAAGCATGAATGGGCTGGGAGGACAGTTCAGTGGTACAGTGTTTGCCTAGCCTGCATGAGGCAGTAATTTAATGCCCAGCACCATATAACAGATAAACAGATAAACAGTTCTATGTCAAAAATTTGCCATTTTAGTGTTATATCTATTTCAATGTAACAAACTTCCTTTGTAAATAAAACTCTTAGGGTATTTCATTCATTATAAATGTCATATTACAAATATATGTGTGAAGGCCCAGGGATATAGCCCAGCAGCACAACATTTGCCTGGCAAGTGTGAGGTTGTGAGTTTGATTCCCAGTACCAAAAAAATAAAATAAAAACGTGTGTGTGTGTGTGTAAGTTAAGACAGTTTTACTCCTAACTTCTCTTAGTTCACTGAAAAACTGTGCTAAAACTGTTTGCTCAGTTATGTAAATATCTTGTACTCTAAGTAACTAACTTACAGGTAACAACAGGCAATGTATTAACTACATTTTTTTCTTTAAAATAACAATATTAGGGTTAGGTTTTATTGTTCTGTTTGATTTTATAATATCCAATGACATGGGCAGCTATTTCAAAGATAACAAGATACATTACGGATTTACATACATATATTCTGGATTTACTCTTATCTTGTGTGAGGTCCTTTATTGCATTCATTGTTGTTTTTATTGGTTCTGTTCTGTTTTGTTTGATTTTTACTATGTTTGAAGGTATCTGCAGCTATTTTGAAGACAGGGGCATTATGGTAACTATTGTTGATTTCCTATTGTTTTGAAGTCCTATGTCACACTAGTTTGTTTTGATTGGCTTTATTCTGTTTTATTTTGCTCAGTTTTATTCTCTTTAAAATAAAAATTTTAATTTTAAAAACAATATAAAAAGGTACAAACACCACAAACCTGTAAAATACAGAAAATAGAAAAATGAGTGATGGGCTGGGGATTTAGCCCAGTGGCATAAGCGCCTGCCTTGCAAGCACGCAGTCCTGAATTCCATCCCCGGTACTGATTTAAAAAAAAAAAAAAAACAAAACTGAGTGACAGAATCCCTAAAAAAAAAAAAAAAAAAAAAAAATTCAATATAATCACCATTGTTAAATTCCTATCATCTTATCTTGAATCCTGTATCACTATTGTTTTGGAGGGTTTTCTGTTGCTGTTGTGTTTTTATTTGGGGTTTTCTTCTCTTTAAAAAAATAAATAAATGTTACATTGTAAATCACCCATAGCATTCAAAAGGTGCCAAAGGCCACAAAAACAATGTTCCTATAACCAATGACTATGTGAATACTGTTGTTCTGTACTAGACTTTATGCATGTCACATAAATTCACCTCTTTGATAGGCATACTGGCAGCTTTCACCATCCTGCTCTTTAATTAGATGAGTACTTTTAGGACCTGCCAAACAACAAGCATCCACTGTCACTGGCAAGTCCTTACTTCCCTAAGGAAAGTGAATGATGACTAAGTCAGCCTCTTAATGCACTTTACAGAAGGGTGGCATGAAGGTCAGAATAGCTGCACCAACAGCGGTGAACCTATGGCACATGTGCCACAATGCACACAAACAGCTTTCTCTGTTGGTGTATGAGTTGTTTTTTCTAAACTAAAGTATTAGAGTTTAGCTGCAGTTGGCATTTTGCAGTAAGTGGGTTCTGAGTTGCCATCAATGAGCTAGACAGTTCTTGGTTGCAGATTTTAATTTCCAAGTTATTTAATTATTTGATGCTATCTTCTGAAAAATACCCAATAAGTAACAGCAGCAAATCTGGTTGAAGTAAAGGCTTTAACTATTTCTCTCTGCCATGTCTTTTATCCTACTCTGTGCCCTGGAACTCTTCCCCTGGAACACAACACTGCTTTTATCTCACCTGCAAACCACAGTTGCCAGCATAATGTTAGCCCTTAAAAGACCCGGGGCCCTTAGTGCTGGAAAAGACCACACAAAATGACCCTAATCACAAGAAGCCAAGGATGGATGCCTGACCTGCATCAGCATTCCACTCTTCTAGTCTTAGATTTAAGCCAACAGGTTAGCATTGCAGTTGGCTCAGAATTTAAATTTCAAAGCTACAAATCTTTGATTTCATCTCAACTTCATCCAGCCAATAAATATATTCTAGGCAACAGTGTTCCTTATTTGAAACCAATGACTACTTCTTTTAAAAATCTTCTGATATGCCAAACAATTATTCAAAACCATGTGTCTCATTCTACCTTAAGTAAATACAGACTACAACAGCTTTCTGATATCTAAATTAGATATGGTATCATGTTTCCTTTAAAGATGTTTTCTGAATTTCACAACTAAGACTTCCAGAGCTTTCACCTGGTACACCTCCAGCTTACCGAAAGTTTCTTTTGCTAATTCAAGGTCTGATTCTTCCTGTAATTTCTTTAGCCGAAGTTTATCTGCTAATTGTTCTTCTGGTGTTAGCACTTTAGGTTCTTCAGGTTCTTCTAACTAAAATAAAATGGAACAGAAGTATGAAGAGGGCTGGGATTATGATGGAATCAGCACATTTCTGGTCCTGGAGACTGAACTCCGGGACATACTGAGATACCTATCTACCCCCAATCTCTTTTTTTTCCAGACAGTTTCTGTAAGTTGCCCAACTGAAACTAGAACTATGATCCTCCTGCCTTATGCTCCCAAGTTTATAGGAATGTATCATAAGGCCTGGCTTATACTTTAAATATTCTTATTCTAACTGTACAGATAAAAAAACAGGCAGAGGGATTAAACAAGGCCTGGCTTACACTTTTTATATTCTTATCCTAACTGTACAGATAAAAAAAACAGGCAAAGGGATTAAACAATCCGTCCACAATAACAGAAGCTAACATACCTAATAATGCAACAGAAATGAAATATAAACCCAGCAAGATTGAGTTGGGTTCTTTTGTTTATTTTTAGTACTGGGGATTTAACCATTAAACGCTGAGCTATATTCCAGCTCTTTGTGTGTGTGTGTGTTTGGTTTTTTTTTTTTTTTTTTTTTTTTTTTTGGTCTTTTTTTTCCTTTTTATCGGTACCAGGGATCGAACTCACAACTGCCTGCTTGCAAGGCAGGCGCTTATGCCGCTGAGCTAAATCCCCAGCCCCTCCCTTTTTTTTTTTTTTTTTTGAGAAAGGGTCTTGCCAAGTTATCTAGACTGGCCTTGAGCTTGCAATTCTTCTGCTTCAAGCTCCCAAGCTCTGAGATTAAAGGCATGTGCTATCATACTTGGTTCTATATACTTTTTTAATAAGGAACTAAGCTTATAGGCAAAAGAAAAAGGAATCTCGCATACTACTACACAAAGACTATCGGGGACAACTTTCTGTGGCAATGAAATATATATCAAGTTTTTAAAAACTTTCATATGAGAGATGGAAATATAGCTCAGTAGTAGATTACTTACGTAGCATGACTAAAACCTTGAGTTTAAGCCCCAGGATGGAAAAAAAATTTATATTCTTTAATCAAGTAATTCTACTTCTAGATATTTATCTTAAGACACCTCAGATTTAAACACAAAGAAGTATAATTGCAGAAAAATTTAGAGACAACCTAAATGTCCAACAAAGAATAGTCTAATAAAGTCTGCCACATTCATCCAATAATACTATATAGACATTAACATGTTTCCACAAGCTTATCACTTTTATTAGTCTTTTCACTAGTGAAATTAATTAAAATCTAATTTGGTGCTTGAATCTGAATTATTACTGTCCAAATATAAAAACACTACTTATACCAATTAAAAATGTGTAACAAATTTATTTTATTAAATAGTTTATCAATAATTCTCTAAATTTTAACATGGAAATCTTACAAGCACCTCACTGCTTGTGTATATGGTATGTACTTACAACTGCTACACCACAAATTAAATGCATGTACCAACAATGGTCAAGCAGGCAGGATGACTGAATTCAAATCAGAGCTGCCCCAGCCGTCAAGACATATCACAACCCCATTATGAACATGTTATAAAACATGTCATTATTCAAAGCATCAGAAAAAGTTTCTCCCATATTTTTATGTATTATATTATACAATTATGAAAGTAGTTATAAAACTAGGATGTAGCTTTATGAAAGTGTTTGCCTAATGTTCAAGAAGCCTTGGGTTTGATCCTCAGCACCACGGTCAAAAAAGGGTAATTACGTAAAAAATGCAAAAGACACAATAATAAGAAAAAGTTTTCACTTATTTCCCTATCTCATTCCTCTGAGATGATAGTTATCACTTTAGTATCTCACTGTTACATAATTTCTACAACAATTGTGTACATAAGGAGAAACGACAATACCAGAGCAAAAGTAAAGGACAAGTATGTTCGTTAGCATTATTCATGGCTGTGCAGTTTGAAGATTTTGATTCAGAAATTTATTCTGAAATGCATCACATTTCTCAAGGAGGAAATGAAACAAAAAGGTCAATACGACAAGTTACATCTTTAACACTTTATAGAAACAAAAAGGAATTTTTAAAAATTTAACTATCTTAGTAAATCTGTACATCATTATATATTTCTTATACCAAAACTGAAAATAAACAGTGCATGGTGGTACACACCTATAGTTCCGAAACTCTAAACTGAAGCAGGACAATTGATAGTTCAAGGTCAGTCTAGGTTACATGGCAAAATCATGTCTCAAGAAAACAAACCAGGGTTAAGGGGAGTGGAATAGGAAAAAACAGAAGAATCAAAATATGTCACATTGAGCCAGGCATGGTGGCTCACGTCAACACTCGGGAAGCTGAGGTGGGAGGATCGTTGCGAGTTTGAGACCAGCCTGGGCTATAAAGTGAGCTCAAGGCCAGCCTGAACTGCATAGCGAGACCCCATCTCAAAAAAGACAAAAGAAAAAAGATATGTCAGATTGTCAGGGTAAGCTCAGTGGCCTAAGTGCCTGCCTGACAAGCGCAACGACACAAGTTCAATCCCTGGTACCAAAAAAAAAAAAAAAGATATATCAGGTCCAGGTACAAATTCCCTATGGCAAATGTTATTATGTATATTTAAAATGTACCAATAAAATTTTAAAAATTATTAAAAAGTACCTAAAATGTTTCAAATCAAAGAGGACCAAAAGAGGAGGCACTCTCTTATACTGTTGGCAAATGCACATTAGTATAATCCTAAATAAAAGGCAATTTGAAAACACAAGACTGTTTATGCGATTTACCCTTTACTCAGCAATGCCATATTTGGGGATTTATCTTTCAAATATGGATATATCTATTAGAAAGGACAATATGTGGCAGCATACATGTGTAATTGCAGCACTCTGGCAAGCTGAGGCAGAAGTACTGCAACTTCCATGCCAGCCTGGGAAATTCAGCAACTCCTTGTCTCAAAACAGTAAAAAGGAGTAGGGATGTAGCTCAGGGGTGAAGGTCTTGAATTCATCTACTGTATCCCCAACACTACCACCAAATGACAATTTATATACAGTTATTTGCTGAAGTATGAATCAAAGGAAGAACTGATGAAAAATCCAGCTAACCATCAATAGAGAACTGGTATGTAAATTATGGTAACACCTATGCAATACAGTATTATACAGCTATCAAAAGCAGTGAGGATGGGGCTGGGGATTTAGCTCAGTGGCATAAGCGCCTGCCTTGCAAGCAGGCAGTCGTGAGTTCGATCTCTGGTACCGATAAAAACGAAAAAGACCAAATAAATAAATAAATAAATAAATAAATAAATAAAGCAGTGAGGATCAACCACAAACTAATGAAATCAGTTTATTGGAGACTACCGGAAGCAGGTAAAATATAGGAATGGATGTCTGAAACACCCCTCCCCAGTTTTATTAAGTTATAACTGACTAACCACATATAGCTACAGTGTACAACATATTTTATATATGTATACATGTTGTGAAATCATTAAATCAAACTAATCAGTATATCCATCACCTCACATATTTTTGTATGAGAATATGCTCTCATATAAATGACACCTTTCTGAGTAATGGATGTTTTTATAGTTTTGATTTCTGAACATTTCTTATATTCAAAAGTAAATACATAAGGAAAAGACTTCAAACTGAAAACAAACCAGAAACAAATTTCTCTAAAATATATACCAAACAGGCCAGGCATGGTGGTGCACACCTGTAATCCTACCACTCAGAAGGCTGACGCAAGTTCAAGGCCAGCCTGGGCTATAAAGTGATTTGAAGGCCAGCCAGCACTGTGCAGTGAAACTCCATCTCAAAAAGACAGAAATAAAATAAAAATCAAGACAAAGCTGGGGATTTAGCTCAGTGGTGTAAGTACCTGCCCAGCCAGCGTGAGGTCGTGAATTAGATCCCATGTTAAAAAAAAAAAGTCAAAAATGACAGGGAAGGGCCAGGGATATAGCGCCACAGTATAAGAACCAGCCTGGCAAGCACAAGGTCGAGTTTGAGTCCCAGAAATCCCCCCCACAAAAGGGGGAAAATATTCAAATGATTTTAGGATCTAGGACTAAACCCTAGCTAGGGTTTTGCTCAGCAGCACAAGCACCTGCTTGACAAGCTCAAGGTCATGAGAGTTCAATCCCCAGTACCAAAAAATAAAATTGTGCTGGTAAATTACACAGCCTAAAAAGGATATATCCTATTGCAAAGGCATTCTAAACTTCATTTAGTAGCTTTATACAGTAGTAGTATTAGAATTGAAAAAAGCCAACAATTACGTATTTATTAGAAAACAGTAGTGTAGTCTACGGCCATACCACCCTGAACACGCCCAATCTCATCTGATCTCGGAAGCTAAGCAGGATTGGGCCTGGTTAGTACTTGGAAAGGAGAAAACAGTAGTGTAAAGTAAATATTGATATGAACTAGTGAATACACACGCGCGCACGCGCATGCAGTACTTATAGTAACTATACTGTTTCTAAATACCATTTTCATCTCAAAAGAACTCTATGAGTAGCTGATCCCAAGACTGAGGAAGAGCTTACCAGGTCAGCCTGATACTCACTGTATATGCTAGAAACAAAGAAGCCTTCAAAGACTAATGTTGTCAAAAAAGTGCAAACAGAAGTTCGGTATAAGGACTCATGTCTATAATCCCAGCACTAAGATGCTAAAATAGGAGGATCATGAGTCTGAGCCTGACCTGAGCAACTTAACCCCCAGCAAATTGCTCTCTTCCAATGAAAAAAAAATAGCAAGAGTGAGCCAGGGATGTAGCTCAGGGTCAAAGGCCTGGGATTCAATCATTACTGGGCGTCCCCCTGACCCCCGCCAAAAAAAAGAAGGAAAGAAAAATAAAAAGGAGGAACCCAGGAACCATCTTTATGGAATTCCTACTGCCCAATGTTGAAACCATCAGATAAATGTAGGTTTTAGCCAGGCATTCTGGCACAGATCTGTAATCCCAGCACTTGGGAAGCTGAAGTAGGAGAATCGTCACAAGCTCAAGGCTAGCCTGGGCTATATGAGTTTGAGGTCAGCATAAACTACATAGTGAGATCCTATCTTTTTTTTTTTTTTTTTTTTTTTGTCTTTTTCCTTTTTATCAGTACCAGGGATCGAACTCACGACTGCCTGCTTGCAAGGCAGGTGCTTAGGCCGCTGAGCTAAATGCTCAGCCCCTGTGAGATCCAAAAAAAAAAAAGGCTTGAAATGCCTACAAGATAACCAGCCTGTTCTTTTCAACAGGTAGGAGGGTAGCCCAGAATGGTACATAACTGAGATGACAGGAAGAATACATTCACTATTCAGAGACTTATGATATATTAACTAAATGCAACACATGGTCCTTGTTTGAACAAACCACACTTAAAAGGCATCTTGGGATAACTTACAAAAATGTATGAAACAACACAAGATCATGTAAAGAAAATCATTTTTCATTACTAGATTTGTTACTACCATCATATGAAAAACACCCTTTCTCGGGGGCTAGAGATTTAGCTCAGCAGCATAAGTGCCTGCCTTACAAGCAGGCAGTCATGAGTTCGATCCCTGGTACCGGTAAAAATGAAAAAAGACCAAAAAAAACCCCCACACTTTCTCAAAGATGCATGCTAAAATTAAGGTAAATTATATGCTTTTTATTAATATTTTACAAGGTAATAGGTAAACAAGTCTGGCAATATATTAGCAACTTAAATTTAGGTGATACAGTATTGTATTATGCTAATTTCTCTACTGTTATGTTTGAAAATTCCCATAATAAAAAGTAAAGATAAAAATAGTTTTCTATGACCAGATGTGGTAGCACAGGACTGTAATCCCAGCACTCAGGAGGCTGAAGCAGGAGGATTGCTGCAAGTTGGAGGCCAGCCTGGATATAAAGTGAGATTAAGCCCAGTACCGATAAAAAGGAAAAAGACAAAAAAAAAAAAGCAAGTGAGATTAAGGCCAGCCTAAATTGCACAATGAAACTGTCTTAAAAAGATACTATAAAAGAAAGGAAGGAAGGAAGGAACAAAGGAAGGTAGGAAGGGAGGGAGGAGTGGAGGAAGGGATGGAGGGAGAGATAGAGAGAGGAAGAAAAAAATGAACACTTCTTTTTCATTCCATTTGTACCCTGGAAATTCAAGACAATCATGATTACCAAGAACTACAGCTAATGACAAAAACCATTGGCTATAATCACTGTGCAAACATGAATATTCCCGAATGTTTGTGAAAACTTAAAACACATTCTAATACATAAAGCTTCTGCGTTTTATTTATGTAATAATCACAATCTGTTTTGGGATTCCCCTATCTTATAGTATCCATTTATAGTCTTCACTGTACCATGACTGATGTAAGACTTCTGTATATATTCACATTTTAGAAAATAAATAGTACTTACCCTCTTTTTAATTTCTTCTTGCCTTTTTTTCTGTTGCCGTTCTTTCTCTTTTATCTTCTCTGCTATTTTTTTCTTTTCTGAAATTTTTACTTCTGGAAGTAAAAAAAAATTTCATTCACAATTATACTACTTTCCAATTATACGTAATACTTGCCTGTTTATGGATGAGATAGATATAACTGAATATCCTAAGAGACCAAACCTTTCCCAACTTTCATATTCATATAGTAATGTCCTAGAAAGTAAGAATGGGAAAGCTCTAGGGTTCTAACTTTTTCTCTCTAATATGAATACTAGGATCCAAACATTTTCACAAACCACCTCCCACCTTCTTGAAAAAAGACCGAGATCATTTAACTATAATGTCACATTCTCTACTCACTCCTACTAACAATCAAAACCCCAGCACACAAACAGAAAAACAGCAGCTATTTAATCTAGAGAAGAGATTCAGATAAAAGAGAAGAAAACGAGAAGGGAAAAACGGTTTCAAAACACCAACATTTTCAACTTTGTGAGCATTTTGTAATTTAAGCACCAAATGCCTACCAATACATAAAACAAAAACAGAAGACTCGTGGCTTACCTGGTTTTACTTCTACTTCCTCTTTTTTTTCATCATCATCATCATCCCAGTTATCCTAAAGAAAAGAACCTTCATTAAAAATTCTTGCATGGGGGGCTGGGGATTTAGCTCAGCAGCATAAGTGCCTGCCTTACAGGCAGGCGGTTGTGAGTTCGATCCCTGGCAAAAAAAAAAATTCTTGCATGTTTGTTTTTCATTATGATCTTATCAACTTTGTCTAACGCCACAAAAATAAGCCTAATATTTTTTATATTTTAGTATTGTACTAATTAATAAATTAATGGAATTGACATTTTAATATTGTTCAACCCCCTAATTAAGAACTATCTTTTCATTTGTTTAAGTCTACTTTTATACCTTTGAGGAATGTTTTAAATAAAGTTTCTCTCTAAGTGATTTTATATATATATATCTATTTAGATTTTTTTATAACTATGTGATAACTTCCTAAATTTTTTTTCCTAAATTGTTTTTATAAATAGCGTTTTGGGGGAAGTTTCTTCCCTTACTAAATCTTCTGAGCCAGGTATGGTGGCACATGCTTGTAATCCCAGCACTCGGAATGCTAAAGCAGGAGGATCATCGTGAGTTCAAAGCCAACCAGGGCCACAAAGTGAATTCAAGGCCAGCCTGCACTACAAAGCGAGACTCTGTCTCAAAAAAACAAATGAACAAACAAACATCCTCTAATTTATTATTAGTGCATAGAAAAGCTATTGTATTTTGTATGTTAATTCTGTATCTTGCTACCTTCCTGAATTCATCACTTTTGTTCAAACTATCATTAATTATTCAGCATTTTTCTAAAACACAAAGGTTGAAAAAGTAATAAATAAATAAATTTAGGTCCTATCTTTTAAGATATTTCAATATACAGGTATTCCAAATTCTGAAAAAAAACAAATACTTCTGGCACCAACAATTTCAGACAAAGGACACTTAGTCTGCACCACAGTATCAGCTACAAACAAGACAGCTACTTTATCAGTTCTGCTTCCATATCTGCTTTCTCCTATCTAGTCACAAATTCTAAACCTGTTAAGTACAATGCTGAGCATCAGCAAAGAGAAGGGGCACACATGCCTTATTCCTCTATTAATGAAATGCCCCATATTACCCAAAGTCTTATGCTACACACTATACCACATTTATCAGTCATTTCTTTATTACCTTGAGATTCCTGCTAGTTTGAACATCTCACATGAACCCACCCACCACATTTTCTTTCAGAATATACAGTTTTGTCAATTTAGATCTCTATCTAAATTTATTTGGAGTTTTCTTCCTATGTATGATAAAAAGCATTGATCTCTTTTTGTTGTTGTTTTGTTTGCAGCAGTAACTAGGGACTTTGCAATGAGCTATAGCTTTTTTTTTTTTTAATTTTTCAGACAGCTAAGTGGCTAAACTGCCCAGGCCAGGTTTAAATTTGTGATCCTCCTACCTCAGCCTCAAGCAGCTGCAGTGACAGGTGTGTGTCATCACAGTGTGTATTAGGATTTAGGATTACAAACTGTGTTGCCACACCCAGCTAATTCTATACTTTCCAAATGGTTAGTCAGTTGCACAATATAATTCATTTTTTAAAAATTCCTCTTTGTGAAAGTTTTGTCCTTTGTTTCTCCTTTGTAGAAGAATATTTTTTGCCTATGATAAGTACTCTGAATACATTTTGGTTCACTCATAATAGTGATGTATTCACTCATAATACATAGTATATTAACTTTTGTTAGCCTCTATTTTTTGTTATAAAATTGTTTTATTTTTTTCATAGAAGTATATTTCAGCTCTTCTCTATTGATATCTCCTTGTATTACATTTTTTAAAAAATAAAAAAGAGATAAAAAAATCCTGCCTCTTGATTTACTGTACACTAAATTCTCCTGTGTACTTGGTCTACTTCCAGGCTCCTACCCCACCCCACTGTCCCGTTGTCTCTCCAAGTATGAGTGTCACTGTATTTTGATTAGAGGCTTCTCCTCTCCCCTCCCCTGGTCCTGGGGATGCTTCACCAGAGTTACACCCTAATGTTTTCATCTTGAGAAAGGGTCTCACAAAGATGCCCAGGCTAGCCTCAAATCTATGATCTTCTTGTCTCTGCCTCTGGAATAGATGGATGCAATTACTCTATGAACAACTATGTACAACTCTCCTTGGAAATTTTCAGATTTCTTAAATGTTTTCCTGACCATTCCGGCATGCTTATTTTTCATATGAACCTTTATATCAATTTATCTAATTCTATTTTAAAAAGCTTCTTCATTAGCAGTTAAAATATAAGACAACCAGGCCAAAACAAAAAGCCTTAAAAAGTCATTCAGAAGCTGAGCATGGTGGCTCCTGCCCATAATCCCAGCACTTTGGAGGCTGAGGCAGGAGGATTCTTGTGTGCTCGAGACCAGCCTGGATTACAAAGTGAGCTCAAGCAATCCTGAATTGCAAGTGAGATCCTGTCTCAAAAAGTCAAAAAAAAAAAAAAAAAACCAAACCAGAGTTGTTTTAAATGAAAAATTGAAAGAACTTTATACTTCTGATTTTACCAACTGTAAAATATATCCCATATTCTGTTTTGCCAGTGGTTCATTTATTACAAGCAATATTCCATACAACTCAACAACTGTTAATGAAATAAATATATAATACTTCAGCCCGGTGTTCAGTCAAGAGAGCTGATTAAACCTTAAGGATCCTTTCCCTAACCTAGGCAGGACACAATGAGGTAGGCCTCTATGCCTAACTCAACTGCTGAGCTAAATATACACTGACTGGGGCGGGGGAGACGGGCAGCCTGCACTGGGAATTGAACTCAGGATCTCATGCTTACCAGGCAGAAATTGCACCACTGAGCTATATCCCTGGTCCCTTAAATATAAACTGATTATCACATACAACTTTCTAAAAGGCTTCATACAATTCAAAAGATTTCATTTTACTAAGGATAGACACAACCCTGTATTTAAATAAGGTTTTAATCTACAGATGACCTGGACATCATCTCGGCAAGCATGAGGCACACTACAACATGCCACTTGAAGCTGAGTCATAGCATGACAGATGCCAAGCTAAGAGGCCTTGACACATTAGAAGAAAAGCCTGACTAATGTGCCACTATGACACCAAGCTTATGGCTTTATAGCGAAAGCGCTCATAAACCTCCATTAGTCTATGTATAAACTAAGCCTTTAATTCTCAATAGTTTTTAAGTAACTAAAGAAATTAAATAGCCAACACCGTATCCTGATTAAGGCTGCCATGAGGTCTGCAAAAGTGGGGGAGCATATAAAGATAGATTTTTGTTGGCACCGGAAATGAATAATCACTTCTCAGATGAAGTAGAGACAAGTAAATATATGAAAAAATGTTCAACATCACTATTCATTCCAGAATGCAAATTAAAACAATGTTGAGATTCCATCTCTTCCCCCAGAAAGAATGGCTATCATCAAGAAGTCAACTAATAACAAATGCTAGAGGAGCTGTGGGGAAAAAAGACTCCTTTTCCACTGTTTGTTTTTTTTTTTTTTTTTTTTTTGGTCTTTTTCCTTTTTTTTATCGGTACCGGGGATCGAACTCACGACTGCCTGCTTGTAAGGCAAGCGCTTATGCCGCTGAGCTAAATCCCCAGCCCCTCCTTTTCCACTGTTGGTGAGTATAGACTGGTTTGCAGCCATTGTGGGACCTCAGGTGTGGTGATTCCTCAAAAATCAGGATTACAGGTCTCATTTGACCCTCGAATTAAAAGTATCATACCACAGCAATATATACACACACACATTTTTAGCAAACAAATATATGAAAAAATGTTCAACACCACTGTTCATTCCAGAGATGCAAATTACGACAATGTTGAGCTAAACTTGGAAACAGCCCAAATGGATAAAATGTGTTTTTTAATACAATAAAATACTACTTAGCCATAAAGAAGAGTACTCTTGAGACATTTCTAGGTAAATGGATGCATCTTGAGACCATACTCATAAGAGGAATAAATCAAACACACATGTATAATATTGCAGTTTCTCTGATGTAAAAAACTGAAAGTGTAAATGAAGACATTTGTTCAGCAAATATTGTGAAAAAGGAAGAAAATGTTCCAAAGGGAAGGGGAACTGGGAGGGGGAGAAAAGAAGGGAAAAGAATAGGAAAAGAAGGAGCTGGGGGTTTAGCTCAGCGGCATAAGCACCTGCCTTGCAAGCAGGCGGTCGTGAGTTCAATCCCTCATACCGATCAAAATGAAAAAAGACCAAAAAAAAAGAATAGGAAAAATGGAAACAAAGGTTTTTGTAAATAAAGAAAGGAAAAGAAGTTGAAGCTCTAGAGGGTAAGGGAATGGGGAAAAAAATCAATATATATCATGTACCGGTGCAAATTCCCTATGATGAATATGATCATTTATGTATATCAAGAAATGTATCAATATACTTAATTAATTAAAAAGTATTAAGGGATGGGGGGATGGGGATTTAGCTCAGCAGCATAAAGTGCCTGCCTGGCAGGTACAAGGTCATGAGTTTGATCCTCGGTACCAAAAAAGAAAAAGAAAAAAAAAAAAGTAATAAAAATACATACAATTTCAGGGCTGGGAATTTAGCTCAGCGGCATAAGCGCCTGCCTTGCAAGCAGGCAGTCGTGAGTTCGATCCCTGGTACCGATAAAAACGAAAAAAGACCAAAAAAAAAAAAAAAAACATACAATTTCATAATCACCTTATCTGATTTTTTTTTTTTTTTTTTTTTTTGTAACAGGGATCAAACTCATGACCTAATACTTGCCACCCAGGCACTTATGCCTGACAATTTAACCCAGTTGAATTTTAAACTTATTAAAACAAGCCAATCAGTTGGGGCTATAGCTCCTGGTACCACAAAACAACAACAATGACAAAAACAAGCCAATTACTCATTATTTGGATTACTAAGATTACTTGAGTTAGAAACCAGAGATCAAATGTTTGTATTATTTCATTAGTTTGCTAAGTGCTTTATTATACCACTCTACTACAAAGGAAACCAAACAGCTAAAAATAAAAGCTAGTAACACAAAGCATTTTTTGTT